CGAGTGCTTGGGGATTGCTCCATCCCACCCTCCCTGGGCTCATCCCGACCCTCCTGCCCCGGCGGGGGCTGCAGCCCGTGAGCCCCGCTCCCTCTCCAGCAGCCGAAACCAAGCAGGGAATATTCTCCCCAAGGTTCTGACAAATCCCTTTGCCGGCGATGCCACGCGCGGCACCTGGGGCTCCAGTTGGACGCCTGTACCCAAAAATGTCACAGTGGCCACAAAAGCATCTTCATCGCCGTTATTTCGCGTTTTCAGCTGCCGCCAAAGCCACAACCCCCCAGGGGTGCCTCTGGCAGCAGCTCCCCCAGCCCCAAGTCCAGTTTTCCCAGGTTGGTGAAGGATTCCCGCTGGGCACTGCCGGTGCTGGAAGGTGCCAGGAACAAGGTGCCCTCCCTGTGCCAACCAGATTTGTTCCCCAACAGCCACACCAGTTTTCTCCATTCCCGTGCATCACAGGGCACTCCTGCCTCCTCCGTAGGAACCGTGATCCTCGTGCCCAACCCCAAACCCACCCTCAGCCTCTGACCGAGGTGCTGGGGGAGGGCAGAACGCGGAGGAGCGATTCCAAACCCCAGCATCCAAACCCCACGCTCGCATCCAAGAGAAATCCCACAAAGCATCACCCAGGCATCACCGCTCAGCATCGCCCACGCTGCCCCGGCCGGGCCTGGGGGCCAAGGTGAGGACAGGAGGGATAATCACCTCCCCGCTACTCCACACCACAGCACGTTATCCCCAGCTATGCAGAAAAACACCATCCAGAGGAATTTCCCCCAGAAGCCTCATCGAGCTGCTCTCTGAAAGCTCTCAGGAGCACCACCACGACGAGCCTGGCACATCCCTGCGCATCCACAGATGCATCGGGATCCACGGTGCCCAGAGAAAGGTGAATGGGATTCATGTCTGCGCAGAATTTACAGCTCCTGTCGCCAAACTTGCACCTTATGCTCCACACCCTCCAAAACCTCCTTAATTTCCAACCGGGAAAATCCCAGCGTGAGGTACGGCCGCAGCATCGCGGGTGTTTCTGGGGCGGGTACCATTTTGAGGCAGAGAAAGTGAAGCAGATGAAGGGAGATGAGACAAACAGGTAATTAATTGGACTAAAAGTGAATTTCCCAGGAGCAGAGAGAGTCGGCATGTGCCCATGTGCCAGCCCGGCCCCGGCGCCGTCCCCCGGCTCCCATGCACCCCCCAACCCATAATGGGGATGCTCCTCCACAGAAAAATGCCAAGTGCTCTGGCATTTTAAAAAAATAAATAATAAAAAAATGGAAAAAATACAAATCCTTCTGCACCACGTTAAAAACAGGAGCAGAGTATTTTTTTGGGGGGAAACAGTTTCCCGAGCAGCCGCAGGGACCCATCCCCGGGAGCATCCTGCCGGGTCCCCGCTGCCCTGCGCCGGGTTCCCCTCCCTCTGCACCTCCGCTCCCACCACACGGCTGTTTCGAATCTCTAAAATAATGTGACAAGTTAATGATGGCACAATTATCTAAATGTTTAACAGACATGTTATCTAAGTGAATCGGATTGAGATTCCATCCCGCTGACAATAAACATCAATGGGAGAGCAGAAAGTGATAGGCAAATTATCGCCAACCCTGCAATTTCAATGCTATTAAATTTGGAGGAATAACAGCCCTGAGGCCTGTAAACTCTGAATAAAATAGACCCTTGTGTTTGGCCAACTATTAAATCAAAACGCTACCAACATCCCGGCAAAAAAAAAAAAAAAGAAAAAAAAAAGGAAAAAAAGAAAAAAAAGGCAGGGGGGAAGATTTATAGCTTTTCAATTTTCACTACCACATTGGGTTTATTAACTCCTTTCTGCTGCTTGTGTCCTGGAGCCGGCGTCGCCAGGCGGGAGATGCAGGAGAGGGATGCGGGATGTGGATGTGGGAGAGGTGAGGGATGTGGGAAGAGGATGCCAGAGGAGGGGAGACGGATGTGGGATGCGAGAGGGGATGTGGGAGGGGGATGCAGGCGAAGGCTCCCGCGCATCCTGACCCCACAAATCAAGGAGTCAACTCTGTGCAGAAGAAGCCCCCCACTCTGCTGGGCGCCGAGCATGCCCGGGTGAAGCGGGGTGAGCGTCGGTGGCTGCTGCCCCGCAGACCTGGGGGGCCACCCAGCGCACACGCTCCCGCACTAACAGCCCTGGCGCACGGCGGGGAACCCGAGACGAGTCACCTCTGATATTTATAAAAGCGGGCGACGAGCCCGAGCCCCGTTAGCACGAACCCCGAGCATCCCGAGCCCCGGTGGCGCAGGCTGGTAGGGGGATCAGGCTGCCTTCTCGACGCATTTTGTTTTTTCCTCTACATTTTAGGAGAAGGGTAAGGAATTTTCCAAGCTCCCCCCACCCCCCCCGGGCTCATGCTGCTGGAAGATGAGCCAAAACAGTTGCTGCTTTTCCTATTGCCGCGGGCTGGGGGCCAAGGACAGAGTGCGCCCGGAGAGGGCGTTGCAGCCCCGAGCCCACGGGGCCGTTGGCAGCGCTCAGCCCGCTCCGTGTTTACAAGCACAAACTATTTTTTCCTTCCTTCCTTTATTTATTTATTTATTTTACCTCTGGTCGGAAAGCAGGGCGTAGGTTTTCTGCTGCTGGAGGCAGCACATGAACACTGGGGCACGAACACCGTCCTTCGGAGCAGCAATGAGGGCAACGGGGGAGAAAAATATGTGATAAAGCTGGGTACTGAATCCTGTCCATCCACCTGAGAAACAGCCCCACATGCTGAAAAAAACAGCAGGAGTCCTCCGTCTGGGCCACCCATCGCAGAAAAGCCCCAGCCCACCCAGAAAAGCAGCAAGTGGTCACGGACGGGTCCCACATCCACCCTTAAACACCATGTTTTCAAGCAAAGAGGGTGCATTTGGTCAGTCTGTCCCAGGCAATACAAAACCCTCCGCAGTTTTTGATGCCACCCTTGAAGGAATCTACCTAAACATCTACCAAAAACCAGCTATTTTTTTTCTGGGGAAAGCTGGAAGGTCTTTCCCCAATTGACCTACTGCTAAGGGCGAAGGGAGGGCACCCGAAAAAACACTCCTTCCAGGGAGATGCCGCTATTTGGGCAGGGGGTTAATTATAGCTCCGCAGGGGGGGAGGATGCTGCGTGCCAGGGCCGGGCTCTGCGTGCCACCGAGCAGAGGAAGCCATTCATTTCGGTGTTTACAGCCGGCGGCGGCGATGACAAACCTGCCCCGTGGGGTCACCGCGTCCCCCCGCACCGCTCCCTCCCCATCCAGCCCCCGGGACGTGGCGACCCACGGGGCTCTAACCCCCAAGAAACCGAGTCGATGACCAGCTCAGCATCCCTGGGGTGGTTCTGGGGGAAGGCATCATCAGGGAGATGCTCAAGGTTGCCTGTTCCCGGGGTGATGGAGCCCTGGGTACCAGGGGGAACTGGGCGCCCACCCCAGGATGCTCAGTAGGTCTGGGAAACATATGGAATAGGGATCCAGGCACTGTTTGCTCAACCACCTTCATCTCCCTTCCCAGGCTTAGGTGGCTCACCCCTGAGCAGGGTCTGTCCCTCAGCTTGGCTGGCTGCCCCAGCGCAGCCTCCCCTTCCTCCTCCTCCTCCTCCTTCCGCACCACCCGCCTTAAAAAGACCGTTATTGGTAAAGCCCGGCCTCCCGCTGCAGGACTCGGGACACGGAGGGCAATTACTTCACAATTTATGGACTGGTGCTGGGCCAGTGCGGCTCCGGTGACGGCCAGAGCTATTCCTGCCCCGTGACACAGCACTTCCATCGCTCCCCCAGCCCCCGGCCGGGCTCTCCCTGCCAACCCCAGCCCATTTGTGGCATTTCGCAGGGTTTTCAGCGCTGAAAGAGGAGCCTGTGCTCGGTCACGCCGCTCCCAGCGCAGCGCCGGGAGGAGCGGGTGCTTTTCCCTGCCTCAGCCTGGGTTTTGGGGGGTTTGAAAGGCTCCACCTGGGATGGCCCGGATGCCAATTCCCCTGTGCCCCGTAGCAAACCCTTCCCGGGCAAGGTGGCTTTCGGGAGACGCATAAAGGGCTCCTTGTGTGAGGCCGAAGGGCTGGAAAGCACACAGGCTGAAGGGCGGCAGCGGCTGAGGGCCGAGAGCCACTGGGGGAGGGCGCAGGGAAGAAACCACCCAGCATTTGCCCCACCATCATTCCCACACATTAGGGCTGAGCAAGGAACGCCACAAACCGGTGCCTCACACCCGTGTCGGGGTGGTGGGGGACCTGGGGCTCCCTCCCTCCTGCCAACACCGGTGCCAGGCCCCGAGCGGCGGCGCCAGGCCGGGCTGCCCCACAGCAACCGCTCCGCTTGGGGCTGTCAACCCCAACAAACAGCAGGGGAAGAGGCTTTTCTGTGCACAGATGGGTCCTGCCCTCCCCACAGCCCTGACCACGGGTCACAGGTCCCCGAGCATCCTCTTGGATGAGCGCACACCCCCCGTGCAGACACTCGCACACACCTCACGGCAGCGTGATGAACCCCCCCTCCCCAGCTCCAGGCGCAGTGCAATTAGCCCTACAAACACCCCGAAAATGGGGAATGCAACCACCAGCACAGGCTGGGGTTTGCAAACAACTCGTAGCTCATCACTCTTGGGCTCCCGAGCACCAAAATGTTCCCGACGAGGGGCGTTAATCCCTCAGGAAGCTTCTCTTAAACCTGACACAGTGGCCGAGCGCCGGGCTGGTGGTCACGTGTTGGTGCTCGTGGCTTGGAAAACCACAGGCGAGCGGCACAAGGATGCTCAGGTCATGCTCCTTCCACCAACATCCCCACCACCAGCCCAGCAAAACCAACCCGAGTAAGAACTGTGCAGCAAACGCCCTTTGCAGCCACCACACACAGACCCCAACACAAACCCAACCCAGACCCCCCAGCAGAGACCGCAGCCCACTTCAAGAAAGGGGCCGGGGCAGGTCGGGAAGTGCAAAGGGTTAATCTCTCCATGGGGCAAAAGACCCCAAAGGCAGCCCGGAGCGGGGACGGGGGGCACGTACCGGTGTGTGTCTGCCGGTGCGTCTCCAGGGCGTCTTCCTTCGAGAACTGGGCGCCGCACTGATCGCAGACCAGGGCCTTGGCCCCCGCTGGGGAGAGAGAGAGGGGAGAGGAGGGTTATTCCAGGGGTTCCAACCCCAACCTGTGTGGGGACTTTGCTGCTGGCATCGTCCCCTCCCCGCGGGACCCGGGCACCAGGGGGGCTCGTGCTCTCCACCCCCCGGGGGAACCAGCACCGTGCTTAACCCCCAGCCCTTGCACGTAACAGCACAAGGCACGATGAAGAGTTGCTTCCCAGGAAGAAATTAGATATTTGGGTGTGGGATTTCCACCACCCCCCAAAAAAAATCATTAAACATCAATGTGTTTCATTAGCTTTGTAACCGATCTAATTGTGATTGGTTTCCTGCCCCTTCCCGCGGCCGCTGCTGCCGGTACCCGAGGGGGTACCCGAGGCTGGTACCCAAGGGGGTACCCAAGGATGCATCTGGCCAGGGATGTGTCTGAGATGACTGAGCGAGCAGCTCAGAGGCACCTTCGCCCATCAAAGCAAGATATGGTATTGGGGGGAATTCTTAGAAAATCAGTATCAGCTCGTGCTGCTCGATTGGGGCGAGGCAAACAACAGGATGCCCGGCGGCAGATAAGCAACTTCCAGATAAAAGCAGATGAATGATACACACCCCGTCACAGGCATCGCTGCCGGGACAAAGCTGCGTGCCCATTTCTTAGATTTTGAGGTTTGATTCATCTGTCGAGAGGAGCAGAGTGGGACAGAGCAGCCTTTGGGGCGGGGGGCACGGCCCCACTGCATTTCCAGGGGTCCCGGCAGCCTCTCCCACCCCCTTCCCACCCCCTGGCCCCCCCAACGCGATGGGATTTGGAGGAAGGTGCACAGAAACGGCGACGGGAGAGAGGGAGGGGTATCACGAGATGCATTAAAAAGAGAATTCCTTCGCCTTTAAATTGTCTGGGTAACGGCTGGCTCGCAGGCAGAAATATTTGGCAGCGGCGAAATTAAAAGTGATAAATTTTCTCGCCAAGCGCTGATCGATAATAGAGGTCTCATCTGTTAATCAATACGACAGTCTGCCTGTTTACTGTGCATATGTTGTTCTCCGCCGCCCTCGCCGCGATGTCAAGTTTGCATTCAAAACAACCCGAGTGCGCAGGGGCCACATGGGCCGCTCCAAAGGGATAAATACGCCCCAAAAAAGGGGCTTGGTGGGGGAGGCGGGGAGGGCGGCCCAGCCCGCAGGTGCCCACAGGGATGCCCGGGGGAGCGTGGTGCGGATGCGGGTGCTGCTGGTGGTACCCGGGGCAGGGAGGGCAGCGCGGGGCAGAGGGATGCCGAAGCTGCCGGGGGGTGATGGTTGCCCTCCGCCCGGCACCGGCGATGCGCAGCCGGCAGTTGCCAAGGCAATGGCTCTCCATCGCCGCTCCACGCTCTCCCGAGCCCCGCCGCTGCCAAAGGTGGGTATCCATGAGGATACGGCCGCCCGCGGCAGCAACAGGTCCCCCCGGGCGGAGCAGCATCAGGGATGTCAGGATCCCGGGCTCCGGCGGGTCCAGGACACGCTGGGGCTGTGCCAAACGTCTGCTTTGCCTTTTTTTGCCCCTATTTTGTGTGGGGGGCACAGGTGGCCCCCCTGAGAGCCCTGCGGAGGCATGGCCAGGAAGGGCAAAGGCGGCCGGCATCTGGCCCGGGGAGGTGGGGGGGGACATAAAAAATTCCTGGCGAGGCAAAAATAAACAGGGGGAAGGGCGGGAGGAGCCGGGCGCGCTCGCTTACATAAGGAAGCACAGCGTGTACCAAAACAGCGGACCCAAAAAAAGCCGGAGCTGTCAGAACAATGAGTACAGACGCGGGGCATTTTACAGCAGGCGCTGCCGTACAGTTTTATTTACAGTACCTCTTATCAGCGCGGGAACAGCACGCCGCCTGCCAATTTCCAAAGGCCAGGACTGCGTGTTCTTTCCCTCAAGTAGATGTGTACTCCAGGCGGGGGAATTTTTTTCTCTCTCTCTTTTTTTTTTTTTTTTGCATGAACTACCACGTGAGACCTGGCTGTCATTCACTGCTCTGCACTCTGTGTGCGTACAAGAGGGTTTGACTTCCCTTGTGCAAACACCCCACCTTCCCGCAGAGGAGGAAAGCAGCTTTTGCCATCTATGTTAATTTTTGTGGGGGGGTGTGACGCCGCCGGGGGGGGGGGGGGCCATCAGCCTCTGCGGCTTGGGATGGGGGGGTCTGTAATTTTAGCCAGCGCCCGGTATCGCCCCCAGCGCAGAGATACCTCGGGATGATCTTCCCGACGGGACGGGACTCCGCGTGCTGCCAAGGACCGGCCGCGGTCGGGCGCGAGGCACCCCCCCCACCCCCCCCCAGGCACATTGATACCCGCGCCACAAAATTTATAGCTCCTGCCTAATAAAGGTCCCCGCGGCGAGAGGCGGACGAGGAGCCGCTGCTTTTTCCGTCCAGCACGATCTGCACAGTCATCACCCCCCCACCGCAAGGTCAGCCCTGCCCGGGGACCGCCGTGCCCCCCCCAGCATTTGAGATTACCCAGTTTCCCCCCAAAAGAAAGGCAAGGGGACGGTGCTGTCCAGGATGGGCAGCACCGTCGGGGTTTAAAGCCACTGTTGGGAATGGGATGCTCCAAAGGATGAGCATCCCTGTGAGCATCCCCATCGGGATGTGGGCACCCCCGTGAGCCCAGGGTGGGGGTCCTGGCCACCTCCCCTCACGCCAGGCACTGGGGGGGGCTGTCCAAAGCCAGAGCTCGTGGAGTTTCACCCACTCCCACCTCCCAGCGCCCATTCTCTTTAATTACTTTATTGGGCAGGAGGAACGGGCTCTCCAGTTTTAGATGGTGGGAAGCAGTAAAAGGCCCCAACCCGGCTCCTCCACCGCGGCCCTGCCCTTAATTGTGGGGCTGCAGCCCCCCCCCAGCTCCGTTTCCCACCCCTCTCCCTGCAGAGGAGCCCGGGGAGGGGGCAGGAGCAGCCGCTGTTGCCGTCCCCCTCCCCACCAGGGACAAAAACAGCCTTTTCTCACACCACGTCCCCCCCCAGATATCGATGGGGCTGGGGGCCAAGGTGCTGCGGGGAGAGGTGCTCCAAACCCACAAACTAAGGGGAAAAAAATAAGGGAAAAGGAAAAAGAGAAAAGGAGGAGGAGGACGGGTAGAAGGGGATGAGGATGGGAAATCGGTGATTTCCCGCAGGCGCACGGGGAGGAGGGGGGGGGAGGACCCGGCCCTTCCACACCACAATTTTGCCCCCCACAGTATGACACAACATCTATTCCTCTCCCTCCCCAGCACAGGGGATTAATAAAAATTTGGGATTATATATTATTAACAGGCTGTAATTGGCAAGAAGATGGAGGGGGGGGGGAAATATGGATTAAAAAAAAAAAAAGCCGAGTAAATTTATGCACTGTCGTCGCTTTACTACCTAATTAATTCAGTAATTTCAAAAACAATTTTATTTATGTTCCATTTACCACATCAAAAGTGCAAAGAAAAAAAAGCACCAAACCACAGTGATGCTAAAATAATACCTCAAGGCATCTATTTTTAATCAGGGGAAAAAAAAAAAAAAAAAAAAAAAAAAAAAAAAAAAAAAAAAAAGAGCGGGCCCCGGTTTCTATACAATCTCTGCCGGGCAGACCACCAACTCGGGAGAGCGAGGCAGCCGAGCCCTGCGCGAGTGCCTTCCTGGCTGCCGAAAACAGAGCTTGTCAAAAAAAAACAAATCCATAATGGCCTGAGGCTCCTCTCCAATCTATTTTCTGCTCAGCTGGTTTTAAATGAAGTTATTATGAGTCATTAAAACACCCGCAAGCCTGTGGAAGTCAGCCAATTACAATTTTAAATTTAGCCTGTTCTCTATCCCATTCTCTTGTTTTCTTCTTTTGCCCACATCAAGCTGCTTTTTGATTTTTATTATTGCCGTTATTATTATTATTATTTCCCTTCTCCCCTGTTTCACCCAAGTGGAAGAGACAGTCGTGAAAATCTCTGCGCTAGAAAAATACTTCGGAGAAAGCCAAGAAGGGCCCACAAAAAGCCCCAGCTGCAGTGGGCTTGGATTTCGGGAGGCAAAACCGGCTTTGCCTCCTTTTTTCCCCAAGTGCCATCAAAAGGCAAGAACCGAGTGTGAGGGGCAGAGCGAGGTGCAGGGCTCCGAGGGGGTCCCCAACCAAAACCGGGGGGGTTTCGGCCCCTCTCCCGGCCGAGCACCACCAGCATCCCTGGACCAGGGGTGGCTCTTGTGGGAAGGATGCTCCAGCAGCATCTCCCGGGCTGGGGAAAGCACCTGGAATGATGGAGTGGGGGCTCGAGGGTGGGCAAAGGGGAGGAAGAACCACCACCACCATCATCACCCAACCTTTGCCAGCCGGCGCCAAAATCACAGCCACCCACTCCCATGCCAGGAGAGCCGGGGGCATTGTCATATATTAAAAAAAATAAAATAAAATATTAAAAATTCAGATTTATAGCTCGGGCGCCAAAAAGGAGGCAGGTTCTTCTACAATTTCCCCTTTCCCCCCGCCCAGCCAGCGCTGCTCCCCCCGGCAGCCCCCTCCCGGGGGGAAGGAATGGCCGGAGCCCCTCCGGAGCGAGCCCGGCGCGGGGAGCGAGCCCGGCGCGCTCTGCACAGCCCATAAAACTCCAAACAGCCTCCAGACACTCCCGCAATCGTCCTCCATCAAAACACTTTGTCTTGCATACAGAAATGCGGCGGGGCGCGCGCGGAATACCAAATCAGGCCGTGACGGTGCGGGGAGGCGGCTCCTTGGCAACCGGGGGGGCTCCGCCGCCGCCGCTCGACAGGAAACAAAATCTGTCAAGCCTGTTGGGCAAATGATAAACATTAGCGGTATTACAGAAAAAAAAAAAAACCACACCACCCAACCAACACAAAAGCCGTGTAAATGGCTGGGGAGTGTGCGGGGAGGGATGGGGGGGGGGTCTTGCCATGTTCGCCCCCCACCTCACCCCCAGCCCAGGGGGGTCTCCGGCGCCGTGACCCCGGGGGAAGTTTGGGAAGTTCCCCCCATGAGGTGGAAAGCCAGGGG